GAGAATGTAATTCATCGGCCTTATGACTTGTTAGATATAATTTACCCAAATGATACAGTAACCAACTCTTTGTAAAGAGAAAATAGAATTAGGTACAATTTTGGCAATATTGCTAATTATTTATAAATAGGATTCACATATAGTGACATGAAAGTCTCATTTTCTGGGTTTGGGACCAAGTCACTCTTTTTTTTTTATTAAACTAAAGTAACTCATGTATGCCCATATGGAATCAGAAAAACACTATATAGATATAGTAACTCTAACTGTAACTCCTTTATAGTCCAAGAGTATAGCTTTTTCATTGACTTATATAGTAACTCTTTTGTACAGATCAATATGGTAAAGTAACTGTAATAAATCCAAGGGAACACTCTAAAATTGATTAAAACACGGCAACTGGAGTAAGTCTGTTTATTAAATATGTTAATTTCCATAAAAATGTTTCCATCTTATTCTTGTATGACTATTCTATTAATAATATGATTGTCATCAACACTCAATAAACATGCCGTTTACAAAAGAAAATTAACAAACTAATTTGAACAAAACCTGATTAATTGTTTGATTAAGGAACACTTACAAGGTTGAACGCATTTAAAAAAAAACTGATGACAGTACTTGCTTACCAACTCAAAATTGAAAACATGTTCATATGTATATAATTTATAATTTAAAATAAATATAGATATACATGCATTGGTTAACTAACATATTAATAAAATGTTAAGTCCTTTATATATTATTATGGTATTGCAAAGATGTCTCTTCATTTGAAAACAACAAACACTATAAAAATGAATCGTCTATTTTTATCAATTCTCTTGTCCAGTCCTGAGGCAAAACTTGATACCCGTAAAGATAATAAATAGTTATAAATAAATATTATAACAAATACCCTGAGGGCGTGAAAGTTCATTGGGGGCAGTGACAAAACCGTCAATAGCGTATGTCATGCATTTTTCTATAAGATGAAGAAAACAATACCGCAATGGTAGTTTTTCTCTATCTCACAAAAGCTAGACTTGCAGCGCATCTTCTCTTGAACAAAGGCATATCCAAACTATCGTTGAGTGAAATATATGGAGATAACAAACAGTACGGAAGCGTATTAGTGCCACTTGAACACTTCACTTTTTTTTAATTTCTACACTTTAATCTGTAAATTTTACACTTTAATCTGTAAATTTTACACTTTAAAGTGTAAAATTTACACTTTAATCTGTAAAATTTACACTTTAATCTGTAAATTTTACACATTAATCTGTAAATTTTACACATTAATCTGTAAATTTTACACATTAATCTGTAAAATTCACACTTTAATGTGTAAAATTTACACTTTAATCTGTAAATTTTACACTTTTATCTGTAAATTTTACACTTTAATCTGTAAATTTTACACTTTAAAGTGTAAAATTTACACTTTAATCTGTAAAATTTACACTTTAATCTGTAAATTTTACACTTTAATCTGTAAATTTTACACTTTAATCTGTAAAATTTACACTTTAATCTGTAAATTTTACATTTTAATCTGTAAAATTTACACTTTAATCTGCAAATTTTACACTTTAATCTGTAAAATTTGCACTTTAATCTGTAAATTTTACACTTTAAAGTGTAAATTTTACAGATTAAAGTGTAAAATTTAGAGATTAAAGTGTAAAATTTACAGATTAAAGTGTAAAATTTACAGATTGATGTGTAAAATTTACAGATTAAAGTGTAAATTTTACAGATTAAAGTTAAAGTAAAAAATTTACAGATTAATGTGTAAAATTTACAGATTAAAGTGTAAAATTTACAGATTAAAGTGTAAATTTTACAGATTAATGTGTAAATTTTACAGATTAATGTGTAAAATTTACAGATTAAAGTGTAAATTTTACAGATTAATGTGTAAAATTTACAATTTAAAGTGTAAATTCTACAGATTAAAGTGTAAACTTTACAGATTAAAGTGTAAAATTTACAGATTAAAGTGTAAATTTTACAGATTAAAATGTAAATTTTACACTTTAAAGTGTAAAATTTATAGATTAAAGTGTAAAATTTACAGATTAAAGTGTAAAATTTACAGATTAAAGTGTAAAATTTACAGATTAAAATGTAAATTTTACAGATTAAAGTGTAAATTTTACACTTTAAAGTGTAAAATTTACAGATTAAAGTGTAGAAATTAAAAAAAAGTGAAGTGTGCAAGTGGCACTAATACGCTTCCGTAAAACAGTATTCAAACTAAAATGTCCATCAAACAATAATGTTTTTCGTACTTGATTACGGATAAATCTAATATTTCTCTTGCTAGGTAAAGTATATTCTCTTTATAGAAGTGGACAGGCTTTCGCCTACATCCACAATGCCTGTCCACTTCTCTAAAGAGAATAGGTAAAGTAAAGTAGATATAATCTATATATATATATATGGAAAACATTTTAAACAAATAAAAGGAACGGCTATGGGCACAAAGATGGCCCCTACGTATGCCACATTAACATTAGGATACTTAGAAGAAAAAATGTATAAGAAAGTGGAAGAGCAGTTCAATGAAGAGGTGAAACTTTATATTACTAACAACTGGAAAAGATATCTGGACTACTGTTTTATTGTTTGGAAATACAGTAACAACGAATTGTCTACCTTTAAGACATTACTGAATGAACTTAATCCTGATATAAGATTTACAGCGGAGGAAAGTACAGATAGAATTCCATTTCTGGATATCATGGTAATTAAGGAAAACGATGTCATTTTGACAGATATCTATTACAAGCCAACAGACACGCATCAGTATCTTCATTTTAATTCGTGCCATCCACGGCATACGAAAAGAGCCATCCCTTATAATTTAGCAAGGAGAATATGCACCATCGTAAATAAGGAAACAACCAAAATACAAAGACTACAAGAACTGAAAGAGTATCTACGGAAACAAAGTTATCCCGAAAAAATTATTGATAATGCTATTAAAAAGGCCATGGATTTAGACAGAGAGGACCTCCTCAACCCTGTGCAACAAAACAAGACGGATTCCAGGATCTTGCCTTTAGTAACGACCCATAATCCCCAGAATACAAACGTTGCACCGATTGTTTACCAACTCAACGACGTTTTGAAAACCGACGAAACTATGTCTAAAATATTTAAAAACGGAAATTCATAAACAGTAGGAGGCAGCCGAAGAACCTCAGACGAATTCTCACAAAGTCCTCTTTTAAAGAAACGACAGAATTTCATGTGACCAAGTGCCAGGATCCGCGTTGTGGTACCTGCCCATACATACGACAAGGACAAAGTTTCAACTTTAACGGAAAACAGTTTACTGTTAATAATAACATGTCATGTCAAACTAGAAATGTTATATACGTTATAACATGTTCCGGTTGCGGGGAACTATATATCGGCGAGACGGGAAGTACCTTACGGGAAAGGATCAGAGTACAAAAACAACAAATAAATGTACCGCAATATCGCAAACTCAAAGTCAGTGAACACTTAGACGTGTGCGGAAATAGAACTTTTACTGTCTTTCCATTTTATAAACTGCACAACTCTAACACAATCGAAAGACGTGATAAAGAAAGACATTTTATAAGGACTTTCAAACCTAAATTAAATAGTATAATGTAAAATAATTGTTTCTTTACATGTAAATTATGTTACTGAGTCACATTTATTGCTTTGTTTTTGTATGCTTTGTTAATGCATTGTTCTGTAAAAGTACGGGAAAAATATGACGTCAATCAAAGACTTGTTAACGTTAAGTTATTATGACGTCATAATAGACGTTACCATGAGTATTGTAAAACATCATGAAGAAGAAATGAAAGCGCTTATGTTTTACTCAATCTCTGTGTTTTTTTATTTATTTAAAATAATTTTCATATTTATCACCGACCACTGTGATTTTTCTTGGATTTATCTATATATATATATATATATATATAACACATATTACAACAACTCTTAAACTAATATAACTGCCCTAAGTGAAGGAATATTAATATAGAAAGCATAGAGAAATTCACTTTTACAAGGATACTCACTTCCGCCCCAGCCCGGGGTTGAACTCTCGACCTACGGAATCTGTCTCCTAGCAGTACAGGAACAGCGCGTTAGACCGCTCGGCTATCTAGGCAAGTTAAAAAACTTGCTTTCGATGCCGATGGAATTCTCACAACGCTGCCCTACACTACACGGTCATTGAGAATGGAAGTGAGATACAGTTATTTGGACATTAGTAATATATATATATATATATATATATAGTAAAAAATAACAGAACGCCGATTAAAACTCTACCGGTTTCAATTGTATCATCAGGAGTTTGACATATTGCTATAGATACAAACATTTCAAAGTATATTGTGACGTCATGTAACGTCAAAAGTGTTGCGCTTTAGTACAGTTCATTGTGACGTCATTATGTTACGTTATTACGTTAACAGTTAGACAAATAATGCGGGAAAATTGTAAATTGTCTATTATGACAGGGCGTTTAGCTTTGGTTTAAACAATGAAATAAAATGTTTTTCCTTGGTTTCACGTTCCTTTTCGGAAGTCTTGTTATAGAACTTGTATATAGGAAACACTGTAAAATTAGGAAAAATGTTTTCAGCACATGTTCTAATATGTCCGCTCACGGCAGTGCACTGGTATTCAGTTTGACGAATTTGTTGACGATGGACGGTCATGCGGTGTCTTAGGGTGTCCCCGGTTTGGCCAATATAATGCTCGCCGCATCCTGAACATGTCATGACATATATCAAATTTGAACTTTCGCAGGTAAAAGACGAATGAATAACGAATTTTCTTCCGTTTTTAAAAATAAATTGTTCGGTTTCCTGTAAAAAGGGACAGGTTCCACATCTTGGATGATGACATTTTTTAACACCGGCTGTTTCCTCTGTATTGTTAAATTTGGCTCGTGTTAAAATCTTCTTTAAGGATGGGCTCTGTCTTTTACTTTTGATACGGCCCATCCTTAAAGAAGATTTTGCAGATTGTTTTCTGACCCGACTGGAAACCGACCTCTGTCCTGCTTTCTGCCCAGAAGAGGAGGGGTCAGGAATTTTCTTCTTTGGTAAATTATGCCCAATTTGAGCGTAAACTGGGTCGTGATCAAATACTCTGTAAGCCTCTACAGAATTGTCTCCCCTTTCCCAGTCTACTGCAGACATCTTTTCCAGTGGTTACAATTCTGATCCTATGAAAAAGTCTATCACTTTATCCCCTTCCCTTCTTAGGGGCCGATACTTATAAATGACAAGGGGACTTTTGACAAGTGTGGCGACCTCCTCAAGAGAAATATTAAAATCGCCAGCAACAATGAGTGGCAGGCCCTGATTATTACTGAACCTTTCGATGAAAATAAGCAAATGTTTTAGCTCCATGATTAAATCTGCCATTTTCCCCTTTCTTCGACCGTGCCAAGAAACACAAAGAAATTTTATGTTTGGAACACCTTTGGTTTGAATGATTCGCATGCACATTCTTGATAATGGGGTAAAACCCATTGGAAGTTGTACTTTACGAATCATTTCATCAAGCAGGCTCTGTAATTCCTTATGACCAGGAAACTCTACAATGAACTCATTTTTATCGAACAAAATGCTGGCCTGGTTATTTCCGGTGTATTCGTACTTCTCGGGGATGGTTACATTCCTCCAAGCTGAGCCAGTTATTCCGGCCCAGGAAAACTCCTGGAAAAGCACAATATTGGGCTGAAATTCTTTTAAAAACTCAGCTATAGCTTTCTTCCGTTTATCTGCCGTTCCAGGTCCTATACTAGGACCGCCAACGTTGACAATAACGAGCGAAATGATTGGATGGACAGCGGAATCCACGTCCTCACGTGCACCTAAATCACCATTCGCATTGGAATCAGATGTATGTTTTGGTAGCAATGACGTCGCCATTTTCTAAATCAACTGCAAAGCATATAATAATATATAAATTAAACAACTGAAATTATAAAAAAGTAAATTTTATATCAGTGCACTATAAATACGACATACAAATTAATATTATCGGCCGCGAAGGCCTATCTGTTAGAATGTTCACATGGGGAATGAAACATATTGAGATAACGAACAGTATTCAAGATCAAAAGTCCATCAAACAATACAAATTAGGAAGAGAGCCAGATGGACCACCGAATCATCAGAGGTGGGATCAGGTGCCATGGAGGAATGAGCATCCCCTGCCGACGGTCACATCCACCGTGTTCTTTTTGTCATGATCGGGAAATAACGAATAAATCCGTCGTCAATTCAGGGTATAAATAAGTATGAAAAACGTGAGTCAGCATTTGACTAGTCATTAGAATGTTACTGGTATTTGACTATAAAAGAGTCGTTATTTTTTCATGTTTGATAGAATGATTTCTTTTTTAAAACAGTATATATTCAAAGTGCAACTTTTTTAAAATAAAGAGACAACTCAAAATAGTATATAATTTTAACGAAAAGTAAGAAAATACCTACAAAAATTCTACAGACAAAATTCTATTTTTTTTTTTTTGTTGTTAATTAATTTATTTCATCCGTGAGACAAAAAAAATTCTAGGTTTTTTTATTATCACTCGTTCTTGATACCAAATAGGTGAAAATGCTTTTTTTTTTAAATTGTCCATTTCTAAAATGAATTCCACGTCTAGCTACATATAATGTTGACATATTTTATTTTCTTCATACTTGTATATATATATATATATGCTTTCATTCCAATTGTTACTATTTATTATATTATTCGACGTGCAATGTTTAATTTCTAGTTTATTCCCAGAATAAAAAAACCTGTCTTGGTGGTGGGTACAATAATTCCCTTTCCGTACCTTTGTAGGTCACGAGCGTATCTGTAAACATTGGGCTTTCATATAGATATTTCAATTGTCAGCAATTTTTTATATAATGACATTATGTAGAAATTGTGCATATTAGTTTTGTGTCATATCAAAGACTGTCAAATACAACTTGCAATTAATATAACTAGTTATAGTGCATCCATATCGTAATTGTATAAATTTAAGTTATATATATAAGGTCCTGACAGAATTTATTTTTAAATACTTACGGTGTAGGCCCTAGTAGTATTCAGTTTTCATTCTGCAAAACGCTGTTTTTTTTTAAAATAAATGTTACTAAATATCACTAACAAAGCTAGTACTTCTCGATTCCATCATTTCACGATGTATAATATGATCTTCAGGAAGAATATCAAGGCATACTAGTTATTTATAGACCTGTAAATAACCATGGCAGAGGCTCCTTAAGGGAATTTATGTCTACTTAATCACTGTATGATACAACCGACTAGTTCGCGCTTCGATATTCTTTTCTGTGAAGTTGTATTTATGGATCGAGAAATGAAATTGCTCCATTTGTTAAAAAATAATTTGTAAATAAATATTTTTCAACATTTTATGAAAATGTTCTTATAGCATTGAGTGAAATTTTATGCTGAATTGTTTTTAAAACTTTTTTTAAAAACATACAAAATCACGTGATTAAAACATTAAAAAAAATTTTTGCAACATTTTTAAAGAAAATGTTTGTAAAACATTGGCTGCAACATTATGCGAAACTGTTTTAAACGTTTTTTAAAGAACTATACAAAATCACTTGATGAAAATTAAAAAAAAAATGTTTTTGCAACATTTTGAAAATATTTTAAAAACATTTTTAAAATGATTTTTTGTAAGCTAGGGTGTTATATATTATTTTTTTTAACAATACATACGATGTATTCTGTGCACATTCTGCAAAACTTTGTTATTTAAAATAAATGTTCGTCACAATGTGATCTAAATATCACTAACTTCGCAAGTACTTCTCGATTCCATCATTTCACGCTGTATATAATTTGATCTTCAGGAAGAATATCAAGGCATACTAGTTATTTATAGACCTGGAAATAACCATGGCCTAGGCTCCGTAAGGGATTTTTTATATACTTTTATATATATATATATATATATATATAGATATAGATATAGATATATATATATATATATATATATATATATATATATATATATATATATATATATATATATATATATATATATATATATACACTGTATGATACAACCGACTTGCTCGCGCTCGGTCGATATTCTTTTCTGTGAAGTTGTATTTATGGATCGAGAAATGAAATGGCTCCGTTAATAAACTTCTGCTATTATTTAAAGATTGGGTTTATTGTTGTTGCCATATTTCTTTTGTCTTTCACTCTTCAGTCTTCCTCAAGCTCCTTCCATTTTAAGCAATAAACCAATCGATCATTTGGAATATGATGGATTGTGTCCTGTTAAAATGATATGCAATAAATTTTCGAATTTCAAATTTCACTCTCAGGGTAAACTTTCCTAAATCCAAGTATGTTTCAAGGTTATCTCGAATCATGGGATATCTAAAACTTTTCCATTGCACTTGCCCACTGGTTTAGTTTCCGTTGCTCTTTTCCACTGGTTTAGCTTCCATTTCTCTTGTCCACGGGTTTAGTTTCCATTGCTCTTGCCCAGTGGTTTAGTTTCCATCGCTCTTACCCACTGGTTGAGTTTTCATTGCTCTTGTCCTCTGGTTTAGTTTCCATTTCTCTTGTTCACTGATGTAGTTTCCACTTCTCTTGTCCATTGATTTAGTTTCCATTGCTCTTGCCCAGTGGTTTAGTTTCCATCGCACGTACCCACTGGTTTAGTTTTCATTGCTCTTGTCCACTGGTTTAGTTTCCATTTCTCTTGTTCACTGGTTTAGTTTCCATTTCTCTTGTTCACTGGTTTACTTTCCATTTCTTTTGTTCACTGGTTTAGTTTCCATTTCTCATGCCCATTGGTTTAGTTTCCATTGCTCTTGTCTAGTTGTAATTTGTACCATTGCTTTTTTTCCATTTGTTTGGTTTCCATTGCTCTTGTCCACTGGTTTAGTTTCCATTGCTCTTGTCCATTGGTTTAGTTTTCATTGCTCGTGTCAAGTTGTATTTTGTTTCCATATGCTCTAGTCCACTGGTTTTGAATCTTTGTTCTGATACTTCTCAATTTTGAAAAGACTTTGATCACCTCTTATGGCCCTACCGTATTTCTGTGCTTTGTAATTAAGTTTTCGTATAATTTGAAACTATTTGAATCAGTGTTTTTGAATTAATATTTATTTTAACCTTTAGATTTATTTAAATAAGCATAAAGAGTATATGGTATATATATACATACATGTACATCTTCATGAATATTATATTCAGAGTAAATACTAGTACTCTTTTACATACGCACAAAACTTTAATGTAAAATTTGTTTCAATAAAGAGGAAAAAATAAGAAAGGGGATATAGAGAGGGGAAAAGAAAGGAGGGAGAAAGTAGAAAGCAACAGGTATAGAAGCAAAGTGTTTTTTAACATTAAAGAGCTGTTGAAGTAGGACACAATAGATAGGCCAAAGTTTTCCTCAAATTCAATTTTTCTGAAACTTTGATATTTTGTTCTAAGATACAAAATCTCTCTTTATATATGATATGAAAGAAATACAACCACGCATTTTTTGCCCACATAGTCTGAAATATGGCCTATCAGACCCCTGTTAGAAGATTGTGAAATCAGACATTCGACTTGAGAATGATTCTTATTTTAGAATTATCAATTTATCTATTGCAGATTTGTGTAATAACTTTTGACTTTCCTTCAACTGGCATCGAAATTTCATAAAAATATTATGGATTCTTTTAAGAATTACGCCAGACGATAGGCCAGATCAAAGAGAAGACATTGACACTTTGTCAGAATGGATTAAATGTGTCAGATCCCTGTTTAAGTCGCATATTGAAAGATTGAGGGGCAACATGAAAACCATCTATCCTTCTGTGTTCAATAATCCAGAAGTGAAAAAAGAATTAGATAAATTACATGATTAGTACGTACTGGTCCCGGCCGACAAATCAGGTTACAACATTGTCTTCGTTCTATGGTCGGCGGGTGTGACCGGTTGACAGGGGATGCTCACTCCTCCATGGCACCTGATCTCACCTCTGATGTTTAGGAGGTCCGTGTTTGCTCAGCTCCTATTTCGTATTGCTTTTTGGATTTTGATGTTAAATACAATTCGTTATCTCCATATCCTTCTTTGTACATTCAATGATCATTATATAAATTATTTTAGATGAACTTGGATTTAATTCTACAATTGCTAATCCTACTTATACTCATACTTCCCTTCCTAAGGAAGAAATTCTTCAAAATCATTTGTCAGTTTTGAATATTTTTAATATTCAACAGAGCCAAAATGAATTTGAACTACAATATATATATATATATATATATATTAGATTTCGAAACTTTATAAGAATTCTTACAAACAAAGATACATTGCGGGTTCCAGTAAATGTTCAACCAAGCCTCCTTCGTTACTCCTCACTAAGATATTGACAGTAGTGAAGGAAAAACTTGAAGAGTACTGTGCAACAATATATTCAAGAAGTGGTGTGAATCAGATATGGATACTAAACAATTCCAAAGAACTTTTGGACAATTTGAAATCACAAGAATTTACCAAAATCAACAGCTTAAAAACTTACGACTTTTCAACTTTATACACAACCATTCCCCACGGCAAATTAAAGTCCAGGCTTTTGATATCATTGACAGCTTCTTTTTTAGAAATAAAAATGGAACTCTTAAATTTACATACCTGGTCATTGATAATATGCAAAATTATTTTGTTAAAACACATTCTGATTGCACACACAAGTATTCTGAAGTTGACAACAGAAAGATACTTGAGTTTCTGATTGACAATATCTATATGGTTTTTGAAGACCATGTCTTCCACAATATATTGGAATTCCCATGGGTACCAATTGCGCTCCGTTATTAGCAGACCTATTTTTGTATTAATATGAAGCAGAATTTGTGCAAAATCTTATGCGTGAAAAGAAGAAAGCACTTGTCGTGGCCTTCAACCCGATATTAAGATTTATCAACGATGTATTGTCAATTAACAATGGTCAGTTCCATTCCTACGTCGATATATCCTGAAGAGATTGAGATAAAAGATACCACAGAGTCTGACACATCTGTTTCATACTTCTATATTTTACTTGAAAAAAGACGTTAATGGTAATTTAACAACCAAGCCATATGATAAACGGGATGACTTTAACTTTTCTATCGTCAACTTCCTTTACTTATGCAGCAATATACCTTCATCAACTGCATACGGAGTGTATATATCTCAGTTGATTCGATACGCAGGAGCATGTTCTACGTACGAACAATTTCTAAAACGAGGTAAATTATTGACAAACAAGTTGATTAAACAACAATATCAGCAGTCTCGTTTAATGTCATCATTTCGTAAGTTCTATGTCGATATAATCACCTTGTCAGCATATACAATTTATCATGACGTTAAATGCTGACTGACGTTTTTCAAACTTATTATTAGTTCATTATTTATACTTTGAATTGACGACGGATTTTTCCTTTATTTCAGGGAATGCTCACTACTCCAAGGCGGCGTCTGATCCCACCTCTGATGTTTAGGACGTCCGTGCATGTTCTGCTCCTATTTTGTATTGTTTGATGGACTTTGAAGTTGAATACTGTTCGTTATCTCCATATCCTTCTTTTACTGCGAGGACGGGTATAGCCAGGGCAAATATGACAGGAAAACAAAATTGTCACCCATTTAAAAAGTTATAATTTTCTGTTATGTAACATCATGAACAGATTTATCAAATTCTGAACATTAAATATTATTTAGATTTTTTAAACAGAAAAACGTTCACAAAATCTCTCTTGAAGAGACTTCTTAAACTTCAGACTGGTATTTGATAATTTCATTATTACAACATTAAATTTAACTGGTGGCCTATTGACCACCTCTTCTTCTGTGCATTGATTCTTCATTCTCCTGGTAGTATGGAGAGTCTAGAGACAAACTCTCCGGCATTTCTTGTCTTCTTACGCCAGCCCCAGATCAGAATGTACCACCAGAAAGAAAATAGTAATCATTCCCGCAAAAAAGGCGAGAGAACTAAAGAAGTACGACAATCTCCGCAGAGAAATTCCACTGTCAAACCTCCGTTCATTGAAAGAATCGTTTGCCTGCAATTAAAGAAAAGAAACACATCAGTCCAATATGTGTAGTTTTAATTTAAACATAATGAAATTTAAATGTATCATAAAATGAATGCATGTATGAACACTTTCAACATCAAACGGAATAACTATGATAATAAAAAAACTCTATAAATATATAT